AAAGTGACTGCGGTACCCATCCATGAAGGCCTCATGGAAAATGGTTAGGCTCTATGTGATGCTGGGCCACATAGCTGGGTTTCAAATCAGCTCTGCCACTTATTATCTGTGTGACCTTGGGTAAGGCCTCTCTGTACTCAATTTTCTCATCTATTAAGTAAGGATAGTAACTGTACCCATTTTGTAGGTTTGTTACTAGTATGCTTGGGATAAATGCAGGACATATGCCCTGCTGATGACTGTATCTCCACTGGGAGAATGGCCCCTGACCAAGGCTATCTGTGTCTAGCCAAAATGTCCTCAAAGATATGCACATCTGGGAATTCAAGGCAGTCACTGAGAGTAAACATCTTTGTTTCTGATTATTTGCATGGAATGCTATTGCTGTGTTTTGTTCCCTTTCCAAATCTGGGGGTATATGATCTTTCCCACACATCTATTGGGATGTGGGAAGCTTTGTACTAACCAGCTGCCACCGGTTCCCTCCCATAAGTAATAATAAACACATGTCTTTATCAGCCTGTCATCCCAGTGTTTCTTTGGAATACGTAAACATTACACGAGTACCCTGTCTGATTCAGGACTGCCTCAATACAGTATGTCATATAATTGTATTGATGCATTAAATGCTTAGAACTGCCTCTGCTTCAAGGTAAACACCACACGTGTTAGCTATTACATTGATAATAAATCAATGGGTGCAAATTGCCAGAGATTATTCCATCCTGTCCAGAGGACAAATTCGCTGTAGAAAAGAATTTGTGGGCCAGGACCCCTGACTCATCTGTTCCCTCTTTTACCTCAGGCTTTCTCCCACCACAGCTTTCTGCAGTCCCTTCCTTTCCTACCCCAGTCACTTGTCCTTCTCTTTCTCATCACCCTGATTCCCGTGCTTCCTCCCAGAGTCACAGAACATCCAAATCCCTAAGCCACTCTCTTCTGCGTCAGTCCTGCTGCACGAAGTGCTTGCGGAGTTGGTTGTCATAGAAACAACAACTTGCTCCATAAACCTCTAGGAATGAGGTGGGTTTGAGACATGACTTGGAGGAGTTTAGGTTATTTATGGCATATAATTTGCTTCTCTCTCTTTTATCTAGCTATGATTTGAGCATATCCCATTCAGTAATATGCATTCAAAGACCTTCCAAATATGTTTACTGCCCAGAAAGTAACCCCCTAATCAGAGAGAAAGGGGGTTTGAGGTTACTAAACCCTCTGTTGCCCACAGTACAATTTGTCCAGGCCCCACGCTGGCTCTGGGGATTTCATCTCACCTCCCCTTTGCAGGCTTAGGTAAGTCTGCCTTTCAGAATGCTGCATGGGACCAGTGAGACGACGGGCTCTGCTGTTAGGCAGGTCTAGCTTTGGATCTCAGGTCATCCTCTTATTAGTTATTTTATTGTGGGCATGTACTTATTCTCTCTGAACCTCAGTCTTTTCATCTATAAGATGGGGATCACTTAGGGTGGCTAGCATCAAGTCAGATCATGTACATACAGAAGCTAGCTGTTACATTGTTGGCTCTTAGTGCTTTTTTTGTTGTTGCTAATCAAAAGTGACAAGACTCTAAGGCAAGGAGATCTGGGTGTTATTTAGAATGAAAAAGTTGGAAAATGTCAGACTCGTGTGTTTTCCCTCCCCCTTTAACCATGATTTTTATTTAGAGATCTTATTCAGGAGGCAAGAGGAAACCTGAGTTGTGAAATGTGGGCAGTTATCTTGCATAGAAGAAAAGCAGAAACATTTTAACATTTTATAGTTCATGTCATTGCCTATTGACCCCAAGATTTCTGACTTGACAAATTCCTGCACCAGCATTTTCTGATGCATTTTTTCCATGTCAAACATCTTATTTCTAATAAAATTTTATTTCCTAAAACAAGACATAGAACAAAGATGTCCTTATTACTACCTAGGTATCTTCAACTTCATAAGAGTCGGAGTTGAGGGAGAAGGGAATAAGAAGGGGAGTGGATGGAGATTCGTCTATTATGGCTTGTCATGCTTTGACATCAAAAACCATAGCCAAGGCCCTAATGGTCTTGTCAAAGAAAGATTTTCATAGCCCTTTCTTCACAATTAGTTTGGCAACAAACCCAGGAACCAGTACATGTCCCCATTAGCATCTAGGGGAGGACAAATATCCACTGAAGTGTTTATTGAGGCTGACATTAAGAATCAGTGTCTTATGCAGCTTATGTGACACCTACTATGTGCTAGATTCCTGATACATGTAGTTTTTAATCCACATACTAGTTAACAGAAAGCAACTTAACATCTAAAGAAGTTACGAACTTTAATACATTGTTGGTTAATTCAGGCTTCAGGTTTGGTTCTGCAGCTAATACAGACTATTTCTGACTACACATTTCTTTAAAATGTCAAATTAGAGAATTTTAGTGCATTACATCAGACAGTATTCAAAAGGTCCCGGAGAAAAATGCAAAAAATATAGATGATATAAATTGTGTAGCTATCAATATGAAATTTCGCTCTGTTCTCTTCTTGACACATTTTCTAAATTACCTTTCACAGACCATAATCTGAGGGAAATTACTGTCACTGATTAAAAACTATTTATCACATCCATATGCTTGACAGCCCTGTCTCCCTCATTTTATTTTATTTTTTTTTGAGTTGGAGTCTCACTCTGTCGCCCAAACTGGAGTGCAATGGCCACTCCCAGCCACCGCAGCCTCCACCTGCTGGGCTCCGGCTATCCTTCCGCCTCAGCCTTCCAAGTAGCTGGAACTAGAGGCGCGCGCTACCACGCCCCGCTAATCCCCCATTTTCTAGTGAGATGGCCTCACTTATCAGAGATTTAATCTTAGTATTTTTGTAATTTAGGTGGTTTAGGTAGTTATACGAACTTTATAACAGCAATTTTCATTGCAAGATGTTTTTAATTGTTTAAAAAACGACAAGAGCTGGGCTCGGTGGTTCAGCCTGTAATCCCGCGCCTTTGGGAGGCTGCAGTGAGTGGATTGCCTGAGCGCATGGGTTCGAGACCCGCCTGGGCAGCGAGGTTTCATCTTTACAATAAATCAAAAAATCAGCCGGTCATGGTAGCGCGGCCTGTAATTCCGGCTACTCGGAAGGCTGAAGCAGAAGGATCGCCGGAGCCCAGCAGGTCGAGGCTGCGGTGGC